CTGGGGGGCAGCTGGGCTGAGCCGGCCCTTCGGGAGACTCTTCTCCATATCCTCGGCAATACACACCATCAACATATTGGCAGTGCACATGGAAAAAGATGCCCGGCAAAGCCGCAAATCTTCAGTCCATGCAGTCATCCCGGATTCAGTCCGGGCTCACATCGGTACACCTCAGATCGACATGTACTCACACACAATAGAGGTCTTGTAGTGGGGAAAACGTGACACAAACTCCATTCGGTGGCACTGTTGGCCGTTGACCTAGAGAGGTCAACAAAGATCACGAGCCCTTAATTCGCACAGAATGTTTTGGCCCACCCAGTAGCGCTAGAACCATTGGCGGAGAATTCTGAAAATTTTAGGGGGTGCTTTTCGGCGGCGCTGACCGAACGGTGACGTATAATTCCAGAGTAGTTAAGAACTTACACAAAATGCACGCTTCCCAACAGCTCTGCTGTCTAGTGTCTACATGACTAATTTAGTCGAGGGCAAATGACTAATTTAGTCGTGTAGACAGCAGAGTGTTTATGAACTTGTTTAATGAACTAATCTAATGAACTTGAAGCTACTTTCCTTGATTTTACCTTGAAACGTTACGTGCTAACTCGCGACGTGCTGGTGGTTTGAGTTTTCCATCGAGTGCTAGCGGGAGGGGGCGTTTTCACGCCCCCGCCCCGTTCAACTTGGCGCTTAGACCACGTAGGTATCGACATGCGGTGCGCAGCATTCGAAAGGTTGTGAAAAAATGATTACGAAAGTGCTTCGGTCAATTTTTATGTCAAGTCAAAAGCCAGGTTACCAAAAGTCATGAAAGGTCAAATTTCGTCCATTTCGACAATTTTCCATTAACTGACGCATAACATGGGAACAAACAGAGCTATAGCGCCGTGAAAAACGCTTTCAATAACTCTTTTAACGTTCTTTCTGGGGCAAGGTATCATTTGTTAACTAAGATCAAGGATTAGCCTCCACAGGGCAAAAACTTCAAATAACCGTTTTTACGAAAGACATTCTTCTGTAATAATGTGTGACTTCACTAAATAATGGTACGACATTGTTTTTGCCGGCATCGTGTTCGATGTTCCTCTCGTCGAGGATGCGTCGAATGAATTTAAATTTGACCTTGAAATCTTATTTTGAAAAATGACCTTATGTCATAGTCAATAGTCCTGAATCATAACATGACCGGAAAAGGTCCTGTTGCATATCACTTAATCAGTATCGTCGAGCTGAACAAATATAGGTATTTCCACCGCTCTGACATGTCTCTATCATAAGTTATTGTCAAAAACTTTTGATAGCACCATTATCACCAATACCATTGAACCAGCGGTATGCGCTTTCACCAGCCGTTTCGAATATGTTGACGTCAGGTGACCTCGGTGACCTTGTGAGGTCACCTGAGCGTTTTTGTCTACGGCAGCCGTTCTATACCTATACCTAACTCGGAGATTTTGGGCTGATTGAGACGAAAATGTTGCCTGTTGATTTTCCGTATGCAATTTCATTGTTTTTTTCGAATGCGATGACCTCAGTTGACCTCGGTGACCTTCAAAGGTCAATTGAATAAACGGTTCTTAGGGCGGTGCTTGCCCCGTGTTGTGTGGATACTGGATTGGTTTATGGGCAGACCATAAATTATGTCTTAGACGCTGCGTGGGGGGGGGGGATTTAGAAAAAAAGTTCCTACAAAATCCAGTACCTAACTCCTTGGGTTTCGATCCTTTATAGACTGTTGTCGAGTTTAACTGTCGCAATTGTAGGGAAGGGGGGTCGGATGGCCCCCTCGGTTTTTCGCGAATAAGTCGCGCAAAAAGCGGCCGATTGCAACGAAACTTCTAATATACCCTCTAGTTGATCAATTTTACACCCATCCTAAAAATTTAATGATCCTGACCCAAATGACCTTTGACCTGTGACCATCTGTGACCTATTTCTCGAGATCATTTTTTTTTTTTAGAAATTTTGTCCGAATGGATGTATGGGTGGCTATGGGCCCGGGTGCCCCGCTAAGCAGAGCTTGTTGCGAATGACACCACGGACCCGCCACCCCGCCTTGCGCTGGAGTTGGGTTGCACCATGTGAATACCATATTTTGACTGTACGATCTTTATCTCATACGATCATTTGGCGTACGATCATTTACCTGGACAACCTTTTGCGAATACGATCTTTCGTCCATACGAACATTATACTGTACGATCTGTACCAAAAGATCCCATACGATCTTTTGGCATACGATCATTTTCCTTGACGATCTTTAGCGAATACGATCTTTCGTCCATACGAGCATTATGCCGTACGATCTTTATCCATTACGACTTTTTGGCATACGATCATTTTCCTTGACGATCTTTAGCGAATGCCGAATACGATCTTTTGTCCATACGAGCATTATGTCGTACGATCTTTATCCATTACGATCTTTTGCATACGATCAACTTCTTACGATCTTCTGCCATACGATCTTCTGCTTTACGATCTTTTGGCCCGCGCCCGGCTCACCGGTGATACTTTGGATTGAAAGTTTAACGTGCCGCAGGTAGATGGCTGCACGGTCCGGAAATGTTTAACCAGAATCGCGATTCTGCGTATGTTGGCTCCTATTATCCGCGCGTTTCCAGTCTCTTTGTTATTGTAAACGCTCAAACTCGTGAAAGGATGTTGTTCCCACGCATAATGGTGGTTGTTAATGTCACGTGAACGTCAGGTCATGGTCATTGACCTACGATGACCTTGATTAACTTTTCAAATTTTTTATATTCCTTAGGTAGTTTTTGGAGCAGATTTCGAATTTAGCATTCATCTGAAGATTTGCAAAGTAGTTTTAGTGCATTCGGCTTCGTAACATGTTCAGTTACGACGCCGTTAGTGGTGGTCGACACGGTGACTATAAATAACAGATGGTGGTCGACACCTAGGTACAGGGGCGGCGCCACGGGTTTTCGATAGGGGGGGACGGGGACCGAAAATCGAAAATCCCAAAAGTAGATACTGATCGTGTATGCAAAAAAAAAAAACGAGGCACGTAACGCCGCGAAACTTGGCAAGGCCCAAAACACATCGAATGGTGCATCCCGTTTCCAAACTTATCCTAGGACACCTAAGATCGATCACCTTTTCAAGCATCCTTGCCTCTAAATCAAAATTTGCAGTCTTGCCAACTCAAAGCTGGTTTCCTACAAGCTGCGAATTGCTTAGGCATAAGTAGCAGTGCCAGCTATTCTTACATTTCGTACTTTCAAATTTTCGATCTTACGTCTGGTCAGCTTCAGGGCTTCACCATCATATACATAGTCATGGAGGAAAAGTGGGAATGTCTTCTGCTCTGACAAGTGCGCCAAAACTGCAATATAATTTCAGAATCATGACATCACCACCTGATCCATATGCAACGGGCAGGGTGCAGCTAATGGCTAGCCGTCAGTGGTCATGTCATCGGTGGTCACTCAAAAGGCCATGCTAGGTCATAGAAGGTCACCAACCGTTATTAGATCACACTTTCTGATGGATTTTACTTGCCAAGAGCTTCGCGGGAAAAACGAGCGCATGCACCGTTGAAAAAATTGAGTGAAAGGGTCTCAGGTCCGGCGACCTCTGCAGGTGAAATGCCCCAGGGTAGGATTCCGGTCCTTGTTGATTAACTTCGTCAAAAATGGCAGTAGAGCTGTGATGTCGGCACCATTGTGTTCGTCATGATCGAGCTGGCACGACCTGCATCGTTCTCATATTCACCCTCCAATCGTAACAACTACAGCAGGGATTGGCAAATGGCGGGGCACCCCCTTTGGGAGGTAATGAAGGTCTCTGGAAACCTCATCCCACATCTCTTAAGCATTAGTGGCTCTCCTTATGGAACAGGTTTCTTGACTGGTCTGTTTCACCCCAGAATTCAAAGACTAGTCAAGGTAAAACCGAGCGCACCACAGTGAGCACAATTTGATAAGCTGGTGTATCTCAATTTTCATGTAGAACCTTTCACGTATCACGGACCTAAAACCCTTTCGTGCACTCATGCAAAAGCAACTGCCATGTTTCAACAGCTGGTAATGGCATTTTCACAGCCGCTGACGTAAGAAGGGGAGGGATGGGGGGCTCGATTAGACCCCCAGCCGTTCGGCCGCCGACCGAACTTAGTTTTGCAGAAAAAAAAAACGAGTGCTATCGAACCCCTTGACGAGAGGGAGCCGATGCTATATCCAATTATAAGGTCTTGGGCTACTGCGTGCTTTTTTGGTCCTGCCTGTGATCTATCCGAACACTTCTCCCCACAAGTGCTGGGGTTAAATGGCATAGATTTCAAATGGTTCCTGTGGTAGAACTGCCATGCTTGAATTTGACTCATTAGGAATGGAAAATTTTCATATAGTAACGGAAATCAATGGAATTTCAGCTTGGTTTTATCGGCAATGGGGTCTGGCAGTGGGGTGGGGAGGTAATAAGTAATAACCCTGCCTGGCGCCCCAAAAAGGGGGCACGATCCCCGAGGCCCTGCCGATCACCTTATAACTACAGACATCACAGCTCCACACCTTTTGCAGATGGCCAGGACCCCTGCGATGCATCCCAACAGCAATCTTTATTCAGAACCTGCCTTGATTAACCAACGATGCATTAAATGCCACGGATAGCTCTATAATGCATTATTATCAACTATTGAACGGGCCTCGCCGATAGGGGGGTACTGTACCCCCCTAACTTTCGATAGCGGGGGACCTGTCCCCCCCGTCCCCCCCGGTGGCGCCGCCCATGCCTAGGTATCGACTATGGAAAGCTGGCAGGACGCCTACTAACTAGTAACTACCTGAACTGACCTGACCCGACCAGGCCAAAATACATGAATGCATCATTTGTGATCCAAACTTATGAAATTCGTGATCAGCACCGCGAAAACCCCTATAACAGCTTCACTTTACGAAGCTTTCACAGGTCCCGATTTTCCCTTGCTTGGCAGCCTTTTCTTGATTTGGTAGCCGTAGATACTGACGCACTGACGCACGCCACGTTTGTATAACTTGAATTCAAACAGTGGTCATTATTAAAAAGGTATTATTGTTATTTATTGATTTCTTTTTAAAGATAGGAAACATTTGATGGAGTTTTCCCCTAAGCGTTTTGTAGTATCTTAGCTGAAGCAATAACACAAGAAAACTAAGACAAACGCAATTCGAAAGGTAGGCAAATCAATGAAATCCTTTGAGCCAGTGCATTTGCTGCATCTCACTTTTTATATTTTGATTTCAAATTAAAATTGAAATGTCAGTCAATCGCTTAAAGCCTTTTTGTTTTTAATGGTTGACTCAGGCTTCCTGGTGGCATGTGAAAATCCACCATACTGATGGTTAAATATCCATAATTCAAAACGTAAAACTATTAAACTGATTCTGGACTCTGGTTAACAGCGAAGGTAAATTTATTTTGTACCTACTTAATGCTATTCACTTTAGGCTGATAAGTGATTATTAAAATCACTAAGGGATTTTTGTATCCTTCCATAAACATACTCAAAATAACACGTGCATGGCTCCATTCATCCTGTGCTGCATGCTGGTGCTTTCCCTCATACATCAATAAACAAGATGAATGGGAACTGGCCTCCTCGGTCCTTCCTCCCAGTCCCCTGTCTGACATCTGTGCTCTCCTTGAACAGATGAACCAGCCCCCAGTGAAAGTATGCAATGTGACCTAGTGTTTGTGATGTAGCTAATAAGCTTTCAAATGCCAGGTACTGAATGCTAAAAGATATCATTTGGAATGGTTTTGAAACATTCCACCTCGCACAGAAATACTTAGGAAACAGACTCCCAATTCCCGGCTCCTCCCAGACTCCCGCTGCCTTGACTTACTTCAGCCGTAGTATTACCTATAGCAGGAGTCTCAGGTGCCACCACCTTTTTGCAAAGTCTAGACTTGTCAGTTCTTGAGATATTTACCCAATACGCTTATAGAAGTCTTCATCAAGTCGAAGGTATTACAGAACAAAACATAGCCTAACCTGACCTAACCTTACCTACAACCTCAGTTGGGGAAACTACGAGGCAAATATCAAAAATTGATTGGTCAATAAATGGACTTTTGATGACCATATATGGGCATAAATGCAGCACCTGCTTCTAAGGGTGAAAAACGGTATAACAAGCCGGTACTTGCGGTATCGCGTCCACTTATTGGAGAGAAGAGGCATCCATTTTTCACTAGGAAATAGCGTGATTTGATTAAATGTGGCGAATTGACTCGAAAATGGTGGTAGGAAAATGTTTTTTCTGCAGGTTCTGGGCGTCACGGTGACTATAACTGGGCGCCACAATCAGCTGCCCATTCAATAAATGGATTGGTGTTTTGAAAGAAAATTGATAAAAGATTTAATTTAATTACAATAAACAAACATATTTAATTTTAAAATAATAACTTTTTTTAATAAATTTAGTCCTAACCATTTTGATAGGAAGGATTCACAAGGACAGAGCCACCGCTAAGCGAAGCTTGTTGCAGTGACCCTGCCCTTAGAAGGATGTGTTCTTTCCTTTCAGGTATTTGTGTTGTGAATTTCTCCAGTGTTTAGGGGGCGCAAAAGGTAGCTGTCATACCTGACACCTGTCCCTGTGTACTCCCACTTCAGCAGACAATGAACAGCCAGAAGTTTTGTCTGAAGTGGGACCATTTCCGGACGAGTGTGACGTCCGTGTTCAACCACCTGCGGCGGGACGGTGAGCTGGTGGACATCACTCTCTGCTGCGAGGGACAGCGCGTCAAGGCACACAGGATGATGCTGTCGGCCTGCAGCCCCTACTTCAGGGAGCTGCTCAAGGTTAGACACGGGGTGCTGAGGGCGTTAGGGCCGCTGATTTGGAAAATGGGAGTGGGATTCTTCAGAATGTTGTAAATTGGCAATGCAAATTGTTCTGGAGATCTTTTGGTAAGTTTCTCTAGCCGATGTCTGTCAAGTGTCTTGTTGCAGAATGCAGAGGCAATGGTGGCATTTTAGATGTAGATGTGTTTTGAAGGTACCCTTGTTTAGAGTGTGCATATTTGCATATTTTGCATTTGCTTAAGTTCACAGATAGCCTCATTCTTCCAATATCCTTCCTGTCTGGCTATACTTGTCTTAATACCTAAGCATGGATGCTTGCAGATTGCAATACGCAACCGAAGTCGTGACGTCACGATAAGTGGCTGGGGCATAATCAGCTGACGGCCCCGTGCTAAAGCAATGGGGCAATATTTTGCCGATCTTTCCCAAAGATAGTTTTAGAAGCTGAATTTAGGACAACGATGTATGATCTATTTTTCTATGAAAAAAAATATTGCAAACTCTAACAACGCAAAGCACAAAATTTCGTGAAAACCTAATTGGCGGCGAAGTTGACGCAGAAATACAAAACATTTTATATCAAGAGGTTTAAAATAATGGATTTAAAATAAAAAAGGTTTTCAAAACAACTTATATGGTGAATTTTCTCCTTTGCTTTTTACAAATAAAAAATTTATCCAGCTCAAACTCAAATATGTCAAACCTTACGCATCAAAATCCTCCCGACGCGGTCACAGTTCGCATCTCAAGGTCATGTATTTGGTGCGTCAAGTTCGCCGCCCGTAACAATTTCGCGAAATTCGGTCCTTTCCGCTTTGAAACATAGCATTTTTTGGGCGTAGAAAAATAGAATATACTCAGTTTACCTAGAAACTGGCCCCCAAACTATCTAACTAGGTCCAGCTTGTTCTAAAAATGCTGATAAAATTTCGTCCCATTGCTTTAACACAGGGCCGTCAGCTGATTATGCCCCAGCCACTAGTCATGACGTCACACTTCGGTTGCGTATGCTCACAAGATGTAAGTATCCAGATCCCTCATATCCAGTACAGACTTATTCAGCAGTCAGTACCCTAGCAGTCTCATTCCACTCTGATGTCACGCCTCATTGCTCTCTCAGGAGAATCTGTGCCAGCACCCCGTGTTGGTTGATTGTCCCCTGACCATCTCTAAGTGCTTTGCAGGAGAGCCTGTACCAGCACCTGGTGTTGGTAGGTAGCGGTCCCCTGACCATCTGTATCTCCGCCTCCACGGGAGAACCCGTGTCAGTACCCGGTGCCGTCCTCTGACACTCCCTCTCTCCACCTCAACAGGAGAACCCTTGCCAGCACCCGGTGCGGTCCTCTGACACTCTCCCCCCCCCCCTCTGCAGGAGAACCCGTGCCAGCACCCGGTGTTTTTCCTGAAGGACACCTCGGCCGAGGACCTGCGCGCCGTGATCGAGTTCGTCTACAACGGCGAGGTGAACGTGGCACAGGGTCAGCTGGCCAGCTTCATCAAGACGGCCGAGATGCTGCAGATCAGGGGGCTCAGCGGCGAGGACGAGGACGGCGCCGCGGTGAGACCGACACCCGTCCGGGGACGAGACGGACGCCCGGGCGGGGCACGGTGACGGGCCGGGGACGGGGTAGGGACGGCAGAGGAACGGCCATCGGTCTAGAGAGGGATGGTGACTGGGGTGGGACTCTTATACAGAAGAAAGCTGACCAAATGTAGCATTATTAGTTTGAAAGATCTGGTATAATGAAATTGCAAGGAAAAAAGAGTATGGCTTGATTTTAACCATGATAGACGGTTTTGATTTGCAATACAGATAGCTTTGACGATGCTTACTTGTCGAGATGAAATTTGTACTGTTCCTATAATTGCAACAGCAGTACAGGCATCACCCCTTGCTTTCCACTGACCCACAGACTATCCTATCGTGCAGCCTGTGCGAGCCCAGTTCTGACCTCTGCCTGTCTGCCCTCTGCCGCAGGGCCCAGTGTCAGGCGGGACGCCCGCAGCGGACCGGCGGCCGCCGCCGGCCGCGCCGCCCGAGCGGCCGCGCTCGCCGCCGTCCAAACGCCGCCGCCGCTCGGGCTCGCCGCCCGAGTCTGCCGCCCCCGCCCCCGCCCCGGCCGGGCCGCCGCCGGTGCCACGGTCCCAGCCGCCGCCGCCGCCGCCGCCGAGCCAGCCGGACGAGATCACCGTGTCGGACCACTCGCCCGTCAATGTGAAGGTAGGCCGGCGCTCTACTGACGGACCACTCGCCCGTCAATGTGAAGGTAGGCCGGCGCTCTACTGACGGACCACTCGCCCGTCATTGTGAAGGTAAGCCGGCGCTCTACTGACTGACCACTCGCCCGTCAATGTGAAGGTAGGCCGGCGCTCTACTGACGGATCACTCGCCCGTCAATGTGAAGGTAGGCCGGGTGAAGGTAGGACGGCGCTCTACTGACGGACACTCGCCCGTCAATGTGAAGGTAGGCCGGCGCTCTACTGACGGACCACTCGTCTGTCAATGTGAAGGTAGGCCGGCGCTCTACTGACGGACCACTCGCCCGTCATTGTGAAGGTAAGCCGGCGCTCTACTGACTGACCACTCGCCCGTCAATGTGAAGGTAGGCCGGCGCTCTACTGACGGATCACTCGCCCGTCAATGTGAAGGTAGGCCGGGTGAAGGTAGGACGGCGCTCTACTGACGGACACTCGCCCGTCAATGTGAAGGTAGGCCGGCGCTCTACTGACGGACCACTCGCCCGTCAATGTGAAGGTAGGCCGGCGCGCTACTGTCGGACCACTCGCCCGTCAATGTGAAGGTAGGCCGGCGCTCTACTGACGGACCACTCGTCTGTCAATGTGAAGGTAGGCCGGCGCTCTACTGACGGATCACTCGCCCGTCAATGTGAAGGTAGGCCGGGTGAAGGTAGGACGGCGCTCTACTGACGGACACTCGCCCGTCAATGTGAAGGTAGGCCGGCGCTCTACTGACGGACACTCGCCCGTCAATGTGAAGGTAGGCCGGCGCTCTACTGACGGACCACTCGCCCGTCAATGTGAAGGTAGGCCGGCGCTCTACTGATGGACCACTCGCCCGTCAATGTGAAGGTAGGCCGGGTGAAGGTAGGACGGCGCTCTACTGACGGACACTCGCCCGTCAATGTGAAGGTAGGCCGGCGCTCTACTGACGGACCACTCGCCCGTCAATGTGAAGGTAGGCCGGCGCTCTACTGACGGACCACTCGCCCGTCAATGTGAAGGTAGGCCGGCGCTCTACTGACGGACACTCGCCCGTCAATGTGAAGGTAGGCCGGGTGAAGGTAGGACGGCGCTCTACTGACGGACACTCGCCCGTCAATGTGAAGGTAGACCGGCGCTCTACTGACGGACACTCGCCCGTCAATGTGAAGGTAGGCCGGCGCTCTACTGACGGACCACTCGCCCGTCAATGTGAAGGTAGGCCGGCGCTCTACTGATGGACCACTCGCCCGTCAATGTGAAGGTAGGCCGGGTGAAGGTAGGACGGCGCTCTACTGACGGACACTCGCCCGTCAATGTGAAGGTAGGCCGGCGCTCTACTGACGGACCACTCGCCCGTCAATGTGAAGGTAGGCCGGCGCTCTACTGACGGACCACTCGCCCGGCAATGTGAAGGTAGGACGGTACTCTACTGACGGTGTCGGACCAGTCGCCCGTCAATGTGAATGTAGGCTGATATTGTATTCTATAGATAGGTAGTGTGGTGGGTCTGGGCTAGGTGCAGTGAGGCTGGTGGGAGCTCCGATGGGACGCAGAGGCGCCAATGAACTGGGGTAATCGGTAATGTGGTCCCGGCTGCTCTATCAGAGCTGCAGCGAGCCTGTGTAACGGACAGTGTTCTGTGAAGATCGGCGCCAAAGCACGGTAATCACTGTGGGGTGTTTGTTTAGTAGGCGTATTCTACCTAGGTGCGCCCCTTTCTACATATGTTTTCGAGTTACGGTTTTACAGCATTGCCCAGCGGCCAGGACAAAGTCAAACTTGACAGTAGTGTGGGTTCTTGGTTATTGAACAGATCGTATGCAGTGGTGTTTGCTGGACTTAAACTTTGTTCTTATCCCGTAATGTTGCGTCGAGTTTTATGTTGCTGTAGGCTAGGAATGTTTGCATCAGCGACTTTTATCTCTTCCTCGTGAAAAGCTCAATCGCTAGGTCAGGTTGCATTTTGATGGCAGACATGAGACAACGCAGCCTGATCAGCTTCCAGTGGGAGCTGACTCACTGGCACAGTGACTAGTCGCTCCGTCCCTCCCCGGCGTCACCGGCGCCCTGCGTCCCGAGTGCCCCTCGGGACGTGGTATCAGTGGTATCTGGTATCTGGTATCAGTGGTCAGTGGTATCTACTGACCGTTCTGCGTCCCTGACCGCCCTGGGTCTGTGCTGATCCTGTCCTCCTGTCCCCTCTGACAGGTGGAGGCCGACCTGGCCAAGACAGAGGACGACCCCAGTCTGTGCCCGTACTGATCGCCCTGTCAGTGACCGCCTGTATCAGCTGTGCTGGCCGCCCTGTCCCTGTCCCCTCTGGCAGGCGGAGGGGTCGCTCCGTGTCCCTGACAGTCCCTTACTGATATGTACCCTGTACTGACCGCGCTGTCCCTGTCCCCTGTGACAGGTGGAGGCCGACCTGGCCAAGACGGAGGACGACCCCAGCCTGTGCCCGTACTGACTGCCCTCTGTCTGTGCTGACCGCCCTGTCCCCTCTGACAGGTGGAGGCCGACCTGGCCAAGACGGAGGATGACCCCAGCCTGGAGGCGGCGCTGGGCCGGGTGGTGTACAACGAATCGGACGCCGAGCTGACCTCGCTCACCGCCGACGACTCGCTCGGTCAGTTATAGACGGCACTGGGTCGGACCGCGGGGACAGTTAGGGCTATCAACACCAGTCATGGGGCTCAGCTGTGGGAGCGAGTAAAGAAGCTAGGGGAGGGCAGGGTGTCAGCCGCTGCCCTCTCGAATGCACCCCGATCGGCCTCTGTCCGTGTGCGTACTGTGCATGTTACCCCGTCTGGCCTGTCCGTCCTGCAGGCGAGGCAGGTCCGTCCGTCCGGCCGCTCCCTCTCGGTATGCACTGTGTAGTGTTAGCGCCACCCCGTGTAACCGGCCTCCCATCCCCATAGGCGAGGCGGGTCCGTCCGACCTCTCCCTGCCTGTACTGAGTAGTGTTAGTGTCACCATGTGTAACCTGTCTGTCCCCCCACAGGCGAGGCGGGTCCGTCGGGTGGACTGTCGGCCGAGCGCAGCATGCAGGGTGAGTACCCGCAGAGCTCAGAGGGCGCTCAGAGGTCACCCAGAGGTCACAGGCAGTCCAGGGGTCACAGGGGCCGAGACACAGCGCCAGCGGCACCGGATGGAGACGGTAGAAAATGTCACCTTATATAAATTCCGAGCTTCTCTTGGAACCAACCACAAAGCAGTGATAGAGCAACGGTTATCTGTTAATGGGCCATGAGCCTGTTGGCGATTTATTTGAATAAATAAATAAATAAATAAACGGTATTATGTGAAATGCTCAGTGTGGTTAAATGCATTATTTTTTGTTGATAAGTAAACAATCAATAATCTTTTTTTGTGCTTATTTTGTGAAAAGCGAATGCTGTTTAACTTCTAACATGGCCAGTATTGTTGGTGCATCCTTTTTGTATATTTGCATTTCTTTGCATTTTGATTAACGTTTAACTACATCGTCTTGCATATCGGTTTGTTTCAATTTATTGAGAAGGAAGTGTCCTTATTATTAAGGGTCTGATTACTCGAAAGGGTACCTAATGACCTTTACTTAAGGTAAATACTTAAGGTAAATTAAATTTGTCTTGTGTCAAGCGCAAGGCTATCACTGAGTTTAAAATCAATATTTTCTATAAACTAATCGTTGTAATATTTCCCGATGTGCCGGACGCCTGCCGTGCCGTCCCCTGGTGGCCCCGTGCCGTCCCCTGGTGGCCCCGTGCCGTCCCCCTGGTGGCCCCGTGCCGCCGCGGAGGGCCGCACTGTGACCTCTGGTGGCCTCTGGGCGGTTTGTCACTGTACCCGTGCCATCCGGGGGCCCCGGGCGGTCTCTGCTGTCACAGACCGCACAGCGGCGTGTCTAATTACCGCGTCGGCACACCGAGCTAAAGCAAACTGTCGCCGATCACCACAAGTCGCTACACACCGCCTCCTGTCGGGCAGCGCGATGTCCTCTGACAGCGTTCTTAGCTCAAGCTGTCCAATTGTCGATATTCAAATTATCCCATTAAATGTATGGCATCTATTGAAAGTAAATTTGCATTTCTGGTCCAAACGCATCACAGTGCAAAAGTCTCGGAGCGTATCTCTTGCGACTGGCCGTTGAACAGTGCATACGAGTACTCAATACACTCCCCAGGTCATGAATCATGGGCACTTTGCATTGCTCCCCTTGCACCCTTTTTAACCCTTTGAACCATGTGCATTGCTCTTGAGAGATATCTATATTGTCGATGATCATGGCAGTCCAGGCGCCCCTAAAACCGAAGCAGCGCCATCCCCTGCACACAGTTACATACGGCCCTGCCACGCGCACAGCCGCCTCGCGGTCTCCTCCCCGCGCGGGCCCCCGGATGGTGGCGGGGTGTTTCGCCGTGTGTGTTCTCGTCAGTGTTGGTATTCTCGAACCAGGCTCCGGCAGGATATTTCTGTAAAGCTCTCAGCTTTCTTAAAATCTTACACTCAATATCGACATTCAGAGCAAACGGTAGCGAGTTGCATCATGCTAGTGAAAAAGGTGGATTGGATGATGAAATGGAGAAAGTCTCTTTGAAAGTCGTCATTTCAAACAAGGCAGCACAGACGGTGAAACACGCTACCTTTTGTTCCGTATGCATAAATTTATATTTGTTACTCGTTATTGTTTAGAGGTGTTTGGGGACTAGGCAACATGATGCAAACGCAAGTAATTATCTGAGGCGCACGAGCCCCTTCTGGCCTCACGGAGACAGATATTGGACATGTCACACGCAGCCGATCTCGGCCCGTTGTCCACGCTGCGTGCGGGTGGACCATTCTTCTCCGGTCTCCTGCTGGCACTGCTGACGGCGTCTAAAAGAATCTTCCTTCGGGCATTCTGTAGCTGGGTTGCCGACCTCATCCCAGAATGGTTGTATTCTCTTGTGGTCCAATACAATAACAATAACGTGGTCCTGTCGGGCACTCGGATGGACGAAGTCCTCCCTACGCCTGCAGGCCCCTGAGGGGAACTGTCTCTCCCTGCGGCCGTCCACTGACACTGGCGGTCTGAAGCCGAACTGTGCTGCAACGCCGTGCGGTGCTCTGCCCTGCTCGAACACTTTTCTGTTTTACGAGTCAATGCCTGACCCGGCATTATTCCTTATCTTCTTTTTACTCTTTGAGAACATTCGGTTGTTGAGATAGTTGGGTCTACCTCGCCCCTGGTGCAGGAGGCTTCTTTGTCTTCTCATATCTCCTAGCCCGTCAGGAGCTTTCAGCCGACTTCAACTCTTGCGTTGGAAGTGGCCTGAGAGCCTGAAGCTTATCTCTGAACTTAAAGTGACATGAGCTTTGACGTATAAAGCCATGCCTTCAAACCTGGCTGTGCGCCTCGCAGTGGACTCGATTGGAGGTCATCCTGCACCGGCCATTTCTCGTATGGTATGCATGGCTATCTGTTGAGTGGCACCCGGCCGAGGTGTGGAGGTGCTGCGGCCCTTTCGGTTTGTCACATTCTGCTGGAGTCTCTGAAGCTGCAATAGCAGCGGTTTGGTTCATTGGGCCCTGTGTCTTCCAGCTCTGTTCGAGGACCATGTCGAAGGACGCTTCTGTCGTGCACCGGGACTTTCTCGATCCTTCTTGGCTGTTTTCATCCGTTGCAGCCTCCGTGCTCCAAGAGGGGTTGTAGTTTCTGGCTGTATTGTCGCCGCTGCAATTTCTTGGCTGCCCATTTTTTTTTCTTCAATATTGTGGGACTTGGCGACTCTGGCACGCAGAAGCGCTGGAGTTCCTTCCTCTTCACATTAAATTCGGACGAACAATTATTGAAAGACTTTTGGCAACACACCAAGGCGCAGCACAGGAATATGTTAGTCGGTTGCTCGGATGCGGCAACAAGGATTTTCCGGTGGATTGGGTCCAACTCTGATAAGGCGGCAGTGGGGCTCAAAGGTTGGAAAGGTCTCGGCTTATTCATTCAGTTCAAACGTCCAGGAACATGAAGGCTACTTAGGATTTAGGAAAATGTAAGCTGGTCTAACTACAGGCATTCGATCACACCAACAAAAGGGAACTTGCCAAAGGGTCTCGCCGTTCCTTTTTATTATGGCGCCCCTGATTTACGAGGAGTGGGCCTCTTCTGTTTCACGACGATAGAGTCAGCGTCGCTTCTCAACGACGTGAAGTTCCGGAGTGCTCTTCATTGCGGAGGCGTGGAGGGCTTAGGATTGGGCACCTTAGCCGCCAGCGCCTATCTCTCGTTCTCATTCCATGTAGAGTTCGATAACAGCGCCCACCGCAGCCACATTGAAACCCTGGGACATGCTCGGGTAGGTCAAAAGGTTTCAGGAGACCCATCAAGGGGAGGTTTTTTTGCACGCGTTGCATCTTGCGAGTCTCCCAAACACCTCTAATGGCGTGTGGTGGGATTGTGGTCAAAATACTAGTCTGGTGTTGTGTGGATGTTTGTCATTGTTTGCTTCCTCTCTCACTCCTGGCCGTCATCATGTCTCGTCCTTCTCTCTCCGTCCTGCTCTTATTCCTGCGACTTTAAAGATGCTAGGTAACGTAGGCCGTGAAGACTAGGTTTAAACACGATTAGGTTATGAGATAGGAAATACCAACTTAGTAACATCAACATTTCGTGGGTGGCTTAAACACTAAAAAAGATGATCAATTTTTATCATGTTCATGCTGCGTTCAACACAGCCCAATTTTTCAAGTTTCATACTCGTTTACACACATCACATCACTATGACCAGTAAAATGCAGGCGTAGGTATAGTTTCACGCGGGAATGAATTTAACACAAGTCAGCGGTGCCGTTGACGGCGCGCGGCAGTGTCGGCTCGTGAGGCCCGGAGCGGTCCGAGAATACCAACATATCGTGTGCTCGCCTCGTTTGTGTGCGTGGGTGCGGCGCGCTGCGGGGCCGCCGGCGGAGGGCAGAAACGCGACTGGTATGGGAGAAATGTCCAAATACTCAATCATCAGCAACTGGCCTTAAAATATTTAACTTTGAAGATTATCTTCTTGAATGTCTTTGTTCATTTCATTTTTGTTATAAAAGATCTTGTTTGGTAGATGGGCTAAATTTCACGTGTTTCTTTCTTATTCAGAACTTGTTACGGATGAAAAGATGAAAGCGAATCACATCAGTGGCTGTTTTTATGTCAACACTGAACACAGTACCTAAAAATAAGCTGCTTAGCATAGTGTATTTGTTTCATAGAGTGGCTAGTGTTGAGTTAGTTGATATGTGTTTTCAATAATACAATAATCTGCCTCTGAGTCGCGTTTCTGTCCTCTGCGGCGGCGCCGCCGGCCGCCCCCGCCCGGTCCACACAGCCGCGCCTGTGCCGTCCACGGGCCGTGGCGCGCGCGGCCTATACGGTTGGCGCGAGCGCAGCGTTTGGTTTGGTGCTCGCCGGGATTTCATTTCAAAGTCAGATTCTTTCGCTTGCGATAGATCTTCAGTTTGTCATAGCTGTGTTTGCCTGACATTCGTAAGACGAAAGATCAGGATATCGTTTAGTTGTTGCCAAAATATATTGATACTAGGGTTGACTATTAAGTAATGGAAGTGCCTCTAGCAATTAGAAATTTTTGCACGTGCACACATTTTCTTGGTGTCATCACGTGCGCCGATCTTTTTTCTATCCAATAGTGAAGACCAGATGTCTTTAGCTACATTTTACTCTGAGCTATCGACGTTTTTCCAAGAGACCACCCAAACCTGCGGCGCACGACAAAAAAGGAGCCTGGCAATGGCCAAAATCGTGCGCCAGGGCGAGATCACCAGGGCTCAGTGGCCAAGTGTTATGGCTACACGAATAAAATAATGTAAGTTGCTATATTTTCATAAAAACAATACATATAACACAATAAATAACAGCACCACTACTCCACATAATTGCCTCCTAGCATCACACACCGTTCCAGCCTCTTGACCCAGTCCTGGAACGCCGCCAGGAGGCCATCTTCGCTGATCTGCGCGAGCACGCGGCACACCGCCCGTCGCACCTGTTGCCCGGCGCACCTGATGCCGTCGCTCCATATACTTTTA